ACACAGCGAGAACACCGAACACAACGAGACCACCGAACACACCGAGGACACCGAGGACACCGAGAACACACTGTGAACACACTGTAAACACTGAGAACACACTGAGAATACACTGAGAACACATCGAGAATACACAGAGAACACACTGAGAATACACCGAGAACACAGAGCACACTGAGAACAGAGCACACCAAACACACCGAGAACACACTGAGAACACACTGAGAATACACCGAGAACACACTGAGAACGCACCGAGAACACACTGAGAATACACCGAGAACACACTGAGAATACACCGAGAACACACTGAGAATACACTGAGAACACACTGAGAATACACCGAGAACACAGAGCACACTGAGAACAGAGCACACCAAACACACCGAGAACACACTGAGAACACACTGAGAACACACCGAGAACACACTGAGAATACACCGAGAACACACTGAGAACGCACCGAGAACACACTGAGAATACACCGAGAACACACTGAGAATACACCGAGAACACACTGAGAATACACTGAGAACACAGAGCACACTGAGAACATACAGAATACACCGAGAACACACTGAGAACAGAGCACACCGAAAACACACCGAGAATACACTGAGAACACACTGAGAATACACCGAGAACACACAGAGCACACCGAGAGCACACCGAGAGCACACCGGACACACACCGCGCACACAGCCATGGCTGGGTCTGAGCAGTAGCTAATTGCCTGCCCTATTAGAGGCAAGAATTAGAGTTTTACACTTCACTGTTCAACCTTCCACAGTGATGACCCACTGTGAGGAACGTTCTCACTAATCGCAAACTCTCCAACAGATGGCATTCCCAGTCTGTCCCTGAACTCTGACGGGTTTGGTTACAAATTGCAGTTAGCTTTCACACTCGCTCGGTTACCCAAAAGAGTTAGCAGCCACAGTGAGGTGACTTGCACCTCTCCAGAGAACGTTCTCACTGTGCCCATCGAGCCTTCACTCAGACCCTCTTTCCTGCCTTTGGTATTATTATTTGCCAACCTACAGTGCCGGGTCCCAGTGAGCTGGGGAGGGAGGGTTACCTTCAGCCAGGCCCATCATGCTGTCTGCCTTGCTCACGCTCTTCTTCCGCCGGTGTTTTTTCCGGTTTATCTGGGGAGAAGCCGGTAGTTCCAGCCGGCCACTTGAGGGGCTCGACACCCCATCCCCCGCCCCGTTCCCCTCTAGAAAACAACACGCAAATCAGTCACTCTCAACTGAGATACATAACTATCCTTACATTTGACACAGCACCTTTCACATCGGGAGAACGTCTCAAAGCGCTTCACAGAATCTCTCTTGTTGCTTCTCTCTCTCTCTCTCCCACACTGTAGTGACTATGTATTTGTGGGTGAACATGGCAGCCAATTTGTGCACAGCAATGTCCCACAAACAACAACAACAACAAGATTCCATTTATAGAGCGCCTTTCACGTCGGGAGAACGTCCTAAGGCGCTGGACAGTTGGGTCAGGAGTCCTGACCATAGAGTCAGTGTCCAATGTTATCTGGTATATTGTTAGCCACGACATCAGGGGAAACTTTTCTCTTTCTCAAATTGTGCCCTGGGATCTTCCAGAGCTCCTCTGTCTAATGCCTCATCTGAAAGAAGGTCCCCCCGACAATGCAACCCCCCCCTCCCACCACCTCCCAGCAATGGGCTGGATTGTCAGCGGAGGTGAGATTACTGCTGACGTGCAGAGAGAGCCGCAGCACAGACATGTTGGGCTCAAATGTCTATGATGACAATCCTCCCTGTGCTGTTCACTTTCCACCTCCCTCCCCACCACCATGTGTACACCAGGTCTAGCTGGACTCCTCTGGCTCCCCATCATCGAACATTTTCAAATCCCTTCATGCCCTGGCACCTCCCTCCCTCTCCAACCTGCTCACCCCCCAACCCACAACCCGCTGCCTCCGCTCGACTGCCTCCGGAATGTCTTGTGCCCTCCGTTCCACCATTGGTGGCTGCACTTTCAGCCGCTACGCCCTGAAAGCCTGGAACACTCTCCCTCTATCCCTCCCTCTGTCTTGCCCCTGCCTTCCCCATCTTCAGGTCGTGCCTGAGGACCTTCCTATTCAAGTGCTCCTACACTCACCTCCCCCCTCCCCACCCGGTCGGTGTCGTGCTCCGCCACTGTCAGGCGCTCTGAGGCGCAACCCTGCATGAGGGATGCTGTGTAAATGCAAGTTCGTGTTGTTGCCCCCCCATCCCCACCCGCTGTGTGCTGCCCACACAGTTTGGATGGCAGCTTGGAGATCACACAGAGCCCCACGGGGGAGTGTGGAGAGAGAGACAGCGGGAAGGGGAACAAAAAGGTCAAATGAGAGATCAGAGAACAGCCGGACACCTCTCTCCTGTGATTACAATGTTCCAGTCGGGGAAAACAGGCATTGAACACGCTCAGTGCCTTCATAACCCTTCGCTCAATTAATTATTATTATTATTGCACTCTTTCTCCTTCCCCCTCTCCCTCTCCTGCCCTCTCTCCCTCCCTCGCACCTCCCTCTCCCACCCTCTCCCTCCCTCCCTCCCTCGCACCCTCCCTCTCCCTCCCTCCCTCCCTCTCAGGATCAGAGCCAGGTGAAGTTCCCAGTGGCTGGGAATGCTGGCTGGCCCAGCGCAGGCCTTGTTGAGGGGGAGCTGCAGTATCCGAGTGTCCACTTACCTGTCCTGGAGCTGGTCTCACTCCACTGGTCACTGCTGCCCACGGACGGGCAGGTCGAGAGCTTCCCCTCAGACTTGGTGTCGCTGACGGCTTGTTCAGCGACAGAGTCCAGGGTCCCTGAGTGCAGTGAGTCTGCAACACAGACACAGAGGAGCAGCTCAGTCACCGTGTGGGTTACAGGGAATTCTTACAGTGACTGTCAGCAACAGCCAGAACCTCACAACCAACCCGGGCTGGACAACCCATCACCCTCACCACTCCCCTCATCACCCCAACCTCCTCTCCCCACACCACCCTCACCAACACTCCTCATCATCACCACCCCACCTCAGCCCACGCGTGCCCCCTCACACTCATCCCCTCACCCTCACCCCCCCTTCACCCTCACCCCACCCTAATCCTCACTTTACTCACCAACACTGTCCTGCCCACTGCTGACCAGCCCATTCAGGCCACTGGAGGCGCTACACGCGGAGACAGCCCGTGGCGGCCGTTTGCCGGGAACCTTAACCGTGGTCCTCAGGAGATCCATCTCCTTCCCATGGACATTCTGCATGTAATCCTGTAACACACAACACAAGGTCAGCAACAGATCTCCTCGTCTCAGTGGCTAATAAACACAGCAGACGACAGGACAGATTAAAAAGTGTCACCAATAAGGAAGGCTGTGGCTAAAGTCACTCCAACTCACAGCAACAAAAAAAAATTGTCACTCAATCCACAACCTCTTTGTGGGACACGAATGTGCACAATTGGCTGCTGTGTTTCGGCCACAGAATGTACAGTCAATTCTCTTTACACTATTATAGAATTATACAGCACAGGAGGAGGCCATTCGGCCCATCGTGTCTGTGCCGACTCTTTGAAAAGAGCTTCCAAATCAACCCCACTCCCCCGCGCTCTTCCCATAGCCCTGATCAACCCCACTCCCCCGCGCTCTTCCCATAGCCCTGATCAACCCCACTCCCCCACTCTCTCCCCATAGCCCTGATCAACCCCACTCCCCGCTCTCTCCCATAGCCCTGATCAACCCCACTCCCCCGCTCTCTCTCCATAGCCCTGATCAACCCCACTCCCCCGCTCTCTCCCCATAGCCCTGATCAACCCCACTCCCCCGCTCTCTCCCCATAGCCCTGATCAACCCCACTCCCCCGCTCTCTCCCCATAGCTCTGCAAACTTGTCTTCCCCAAATAATTATCTACTTCTCTCTTAAAAGTTGTTATAGAATCGGTTCCCACCGGCCTTTCAAGCAACGCATTCCAGATCCGAACAACTCGCTGTGTGAAGACATTTTTCCTCCCCTCTGTTTCTTTTAACAACTATTTTTAATCGGTGCCCTCGGGTTACCGACCCACCCGCCAGTGGGAATAGTGTCTCCCTGTTCATCCTATCGAATCCCTTCATCATTTTGAAAACTTCTATTAAGTCTCCTCTTAACCTTCTCTGCCCCAAGGAGAATAATCCTCGCCTCTCTCGCCTCTCCTGATCACTGAAGTCCCTCATTCCTGGTGCCATTCTGGTCAATCTCCTTTGCACCCTCTCCAATGCCTTGACATCCTTCCTAACGTGTGGGGCCCAGAACTGAACCCAGTCTCTCGCTGAGGCCTCACCAGTGTTTTATATAAAGGTTCATCATAACTTCCTGACTGTTGTATTCTATGCCCTATTTATAAAGCCTATTATTATGTAAGTTTTTTTTAACAGCTGTATCTCCCTGTCCGGCCACCTTCAAAGATTTCCTTATATGACCCCCAGGTCTCTCTGTCCCTTCACCCCCTTTAAGATTGGACCATCAGCGTATATTGCCTCTCCTCATTCTTCCTCCCAAAAGGCATCACTTCGCATTTCTCCACATTAAACGTCATTGCCCCGTGTCTGCCCACGTTACCAGTCTGTCTATGTCCTCTTGCAGTCTGTTACTATCCTCCTCACTGTTTACTGCTTTTCCTAACTTAGTATCATCTGCAAACTTGGGAATTGTCCTCCCTATACCCAAGTCCAGGACATTCATATAGATCACAAACAGCAGTGGCCCCAACACTGACCCCGGGGGACACCACTGCACTTCCCTCCAGTCACCAGCACTCTCTGCTCTCGGTCTCCCAGACAGTTCTGTATCCATGCTACAGTATATCCTGTGAACCGCTTTGAGACATCTCAAAGATGTGATAAGGAGTTGTATCAAATGCAAGCATTATTATTATTAGAGAGAATTTTAACAAAATTAGAGAATATCCTATAAATTGCAGTGAATCCCTTGCCGCCTTGAAGGCCCATCTCAAGACCCTCCTCTTTGACCGTGCCTTCGGTCACCCTCCTACCGCTATCGACTGCCTTCCACCCCTGCTGATCCCAACCCCCAACTCGGGTCCAAATCCCTGACCACCCATGGCCTTGGGACGTCCTCCTGACTTGAAAGGCGCTGTGTAAATGTCACGTGTTGCTGTTTAATAGACACTAATTTATGCATCATGACATTAATGTGAGATTTTTGGCATTTTGGGATAAATACATTTGTCTAAATAAACGTTTCCGATATGTTAAGAAAAGGAGAGGAAACATTTGAAACCAAAGCCAGATTCCTGAAGGTAAATCATGATATCTATGGACAGTATTTTCATTTGATTCTCAACCCGAGGTTTGATCGCCTTTCTGGTTCCGTCAGGAAAATAAACACAAAGCACAGGGCACGTCCTCCCACACAGACCGCACTGAATACAAAGATGGCCACAATCCACATGGTTTGACCTACACACATCAGGCGTGTATGATTGACGCGAAGCTGGAACTGATTTGGGGAATTGAGAGCAAATAGACTTACGTGCAGACTGGGATGATAGGACAGGATCCCATTGTTACACAGAGTCACGTATTTCTTCTTCCATTCTTTGTTCAGAGAGTTTCCACTTCTCTTCTGTAACACGCCCTGTCATCAAACACATAACACACATCAGGAGCGGTCCACACGCACACACACACACACGACCAGACACACCACCGAGCCAGGCAATGCCAGCCACCAGACACAGCACTTAACATGAAATGATAGAGAGGCTGTAACAACTGCTATAGTACAGCAAGGCAGCAAGACAACGTTGGGGAGGTGGGGCGGAGGGAGGGAGAGAGAGAGCGGGCGGGGGTTGGGGGGGGGACAGAGAAAAGGAGAGACATGGGAGGGAGAAGAGAGAAAGAGGGAGAGTGATGGAGCAAGAGAGTGGGGGAGGCAGTAGAGAGATGAGAGAGGAGAGCGATGGAGAGAGAGATAAAGGGGAGGGATAATTGCCCAGTGAGTTCAGGCAGTGATCACCGTGTGATGCTCAGTGTGTGTCTGTCTCTGGGATGAAATCTACCTGTTTAATCGGGATTGCACGTCCACTGCCAATGTTATCTGTTTTGGAGTCCAGACTCCTCCTCTCTGAGTCGCTCCCACGCCGGCCCTGGGACACAACAGGAACGTCACAGCTAACACACACTCACAAACTCTCAGCAAACATCTCTGCTCAGAGACACACAGCAGTGGTTACTGCAGCGAGATTACAGACAGTCTAGAAATGCACAGGTTAATTTCCCCAAATCCACCAATAAGATCCATTTAAAGGAATTGTGAGATGCTCAACGAGGAGAAATGTTAAATAATAATAATAATCCTTGCATTTGATATAACGTTTTTCACGTCTTCTCAAGGTTTCGCTCTGCCGGGAATTGAACCCTGGTCTCTGGCTTGCAAAGCAAGTGCTCTAACCACTGAGCTAAGAGGTTCCACAATAATAACTATAATAAGCCCTGCTTTTGATACAGCGCCTTATCACATCATCGAGATGTCTCAAAGCGCTTCACAGGATACACTGTATATTATGTGGGCAAAATGTGGCAGCCAATTGCGCACAGCAGTGCCCCACAAACAGTCGTGGACTGAGTAACCAAATTATTATTAATTTTTATTTATTTGTTGAAGGGATTATTACTTCCAGAAAAGTGATCTGCCAAACGACTAATAACTGAGTTCCTACTGACTGCTGGTAAGTAGAGACGAGTGGAGTAAGGAAACTTACCCACTTTTCGCCCTGAACCAGGAATCAAACCCAGGTCCTCTCGCTTGCGAGGTGAGTATCTAACCCTGAGCCACAGGAATCCACAAAGGGTAACAAGGGAGTGAGAGTAGGGGAATGGCCGGCGAGTCATGTGGAGACAGAGATCAGATGGGCCGAATGTCTGCTTTCTGGTCTGTGACGTCTATGTTATAATGACTGACCCTCCACACCCCACACCCCACTCCCGAGGGCCACTTACTGTGAACAGACTGGCTCGTCGCTTCGAGTGTTTGCGGACAGACCCTGGAGTGGTGGCGCCCTGACTCACGTCAGCCCGCAGGTCCCGGTGGACCACGTTGGGGGTGGAGGGAAGTGAAGAGGAGCAATCGCTCATGTTACTGCCGTTACTGGTCTGGATGTGAGGAGTGGGTTGTGGGGAGGGGGTTGTGGGGAAGGGGGGAGGGGGTTGTGGGGATGGGGTGGAGGGGGGGAGGGGATTGTGGGGAGGGGGGGAGGGGTTGTGGGGAGGGGGGGGGGAGGGGGGTTTGTGGGGATGGGGGTGGAGGGGGTTGTGGGGAGGGGGGTGGAGGAGGGAGGGAGAGGGAGGGGAGAGAAAACAAGAATTGAATCAGCTTCACAACCGCTGGCATCAAAGTGATGAGAACTTTGCAAAACAGTGAATAAAATGGCAGTTTATGGCCCACGTGCAAATTATGTGCAAATCGCACACAAACTGCAAATGCCCGTGTGTGCGCAAGTGTGTGCGCCCGAGAGTGTGTGTGTGCGCGCGAGTGTGTGCCGCGCGCGAGTGTGTGTTGTGAGTGAGTGCGGGCGTGTGTGCGAGTCTGTGTGTGTGCGAGTGTGTGTGCGCGCGCGAGTGTGTGCGCGCGCGCGAGTGTGTGTTGTGAGTGAGTGCGGGCGAGTGTGTGTGCGAGTATGTGTGTGAGTGTGTGTCCGTGTTGAGAGTTTGTTGTGATGCTCAGTTTACAGAACCTCACAACCAGGGGAGGCGGTTACCATAGAAACACAGACCTGGAGCAGGCGGGTCCCCAAGTCAATCCATCGCCTTCCTTGCCCTGCCCCGCCCTGCTCTGTCTTGTCCCGCCCTGCCTTGCCCCGCCCCGCTCTACCTTGCCCCGCTCCGCTCTGCCCCACCCCGCTCTGCCTTGCCCTGCCCCGCTCTGCCTTGCCTTGCCCTGCTTTGCCCCGCTCTGCCTTGCCCCGCCCCACTCTGTCTTGCCCTGCCCTGCCCCGCTCTGCCTTGCCCTGCCCCGCTCTGCCTTGCCCTGCCCCGCTCTGCCTTGCCCTGCCCCGCTCTGCCTTGCCCTGCCCCGCTCTGCCTTGCCCTGCCCCGCTCTGCCTTGCCCTGCCCTGCCCTGCCCCACTCTGTCTTGCCCTGCCCTGCCCTGCCCCGCCCCGCTCTGCCTTGCCCTGCTCTGCCTTGCCATGCCCTGCCCCGCTCTGCCTTGTCCTGCCCCACTCTGCCCCGCCCTGCCCCGCTCTACCTTGCCCTGCCCCGCTCTGCCTTGCCCTGCCCCGCCCTGCCCGCTCTGCCCCGCTCTGCCTTGTCCTGCCCCACTCTACCCCGCCCTGCCCCGCTCTGTCTTGCCCTGCCCCGCCCCGCTCTGCCCTGCCCCGCTCTGCCTTGCCCTGCCCCGCTCTGCCTTGCCCTGCCCTGCCCCGCTCTGCCTTGCCCTGCCCCGCCCTGACAGCTGGAGCTGACACCAGGGGGTTCAGGGGCTCTGACAGACAATTGCGAGGTACCAGAGCAGCTTCATGTCGTGCATCATTCTTACCAACTCGGTAATATTCTGGGCCAATAGAAAAGTGCGGCCACACATCGTTTGTGGAATCAACAACAAACTCCCTCCTCAGGCCCCGCTACACACCTGTACACAGTGAGCCAGGCCCCGCTACACACCTGTACACAGTGAGCCAGGCCCCGCTACACACCTGTACACAGTGAGCCAGGCCCCGCTACACACCTGTACACAGTGAGCCAGGCCCCGCTACACACCTGTACACAGTGAGCCAGGCCCCGCTACACACCTGTACACAGTGAGCCAGGCCCCGCTACACACCTGTACACAGTGAGCCAGGCCCCGCTACACACCTGTACACAGTGAGCCAGGCCCCGCTACACACCTGTACACAGTGAGCCAGGCCCCGCTACACACCTGTACACAGTGAGCCAGGCCCCGCTACACACCTGTACACAGTGAGCCAGGCCCCTCTACACACCTGTACACAGTGAGCCAGGCCCCGCTACACACCTGTACACAGTGAGCCAGGCCCCACTACACACCTGTACACAGTGAGCCAGGCCCCGCTACACACCTGTACACAGTGAGCCAGGCCCCGCTACACACCTGTACACAGTGAGCCAGCTATTTCCGGACTTTGCCCAGACTAACACAGAGCCCACCCAAGTTGGACTCTCCATCATCTCCTGCTTCGGCCGCGAGGCCCCTCACCCGCGCCCCCCCCCCCGAAGGGCTAGGTGGCAGCCACTCACCTGGCTGATGTGGGCAACGGAGGCTGGCGTAGAGCCGGCCGAGTGCTTGGGGGAGCTTGGCAGAGACCGGCACGATGTGACAAACAGATGCTGCTGTTTCTTCATCACCGAGATCTTCTGTGCCACTGAGAGAGAGAGAGAGGGAGAGGTTTGTGATCAGGCACAAGAGACTTCACTCCTCGTACAGCGACAGACACGCAACAATAACAACAACAACTTGCATTTGTATAGCGCACTTCATACGGGGTAGAGTCCCAGAGTGCTTCCACACACACACACGGGCCAAACACACACACACACACAGCAAATACACACACAACACACCCCACACACACACACCAAATACACACACCAAACACACACACACACACCAAATACACATAAACACACACCAAATACACACACGCGGGCCAAACACTCACACACACCACACATGCACGCACACATGCACCAAACACCAAATACATACACACACACATACCCACACACACAAACCATCTTGTCTCTAGCCTGACCTGTCCAGTGACTAATAAGAATAGCAATCCTTGCATTTGATACAGCGCCTTATCACGTATTTGAGACGTCTCAAAGTGCTTCACAGACGGTATATTCAAGTGAATTGACTGTATATTTTGTGGGTGAAACACGGCAGTCAATTGCACACTGCAGAGACCCACAAAAGTCATGGATTGAGTGACCAAATTATTATGACTCGAGGTTTCTGTATGACATGACACATGACTCCCATAGTATCATAGAATTATACGGAAGGAGGCCATTCGGCCCATCGTGTCTGTGCCGGCTCTATGAGAAGAGCTTCCAAATCAACCCCACTCCCCCGCTCTCTCCCCATACCCTGATCAACCCCACTCCCCCGCTCTCTCCCCATAGCCCTGATCAACCCCACTCCCCCGCTCTCTCCCCATAGCCCTGACCAACCCCACTCCCCGCTCTCCCCCATAGCCCTGATCAACCCCACTCCCCCGCTCTCCCCATAGCCCTGCAAACTTGTCCTCCCCAAATAATTATCTATTAAATAATTATCCCAGAACATTCCCAGAGTCTGACAGAGAGACTCAGCTCCCAAAGGTAAATTTTTCAGCATTAAAGTGATGGGAATACTCAGGGCAGTGGCCCACCAGAGAGAAATAATCACTTTACTTCTCATGTCAAAGTGATTTGTCCACAAAATATATAGTCAATTACCTTACAGTGCATCCTGTGAAGCGCTTTAAGACGTCTCGAAGACGTGATAAGGAACTGTGTCAAATATAAGGAATATTATTATTAAAGCGCTTCACCCTGGATCGCACACTCCACCCCTCACACACATTGTGTGAAGGTGAGACAATAGATGGCACAGGTCAGCGTTCCCCCCCCCCGGGCGAGGCGACAAGGAGACTAACAATCACACTCTGGTTATTCTCAAAGGTCTGCTGAAAGGTTTGCCAGGAAGATCATTGATTTGCAGCAGTCACCGACTCCCTGCTCCCAGCGACCAGTGTAGTGACCGAGCTGGTCAGAGAGAGAGAGAGAGAGAGAGAACGAGAGAGAAAGAGAGAGAGAGGGAGCACACCCCTGGGACTCACACTCATCTGGCTTCATGTTACCTGGGAGCAGATTGCCCACAGATCTCCCCGAGTGGCCTTTAGACATGGACAAGACTTACAATGAATGTCAGCGGGTGGGGGGGGGGGGGGGAATGCGATAGGGGTACGGAGGGGAATGGTGGGAGGATTCTGGCCCAAACCCCTGTCCTCCCCTCACCAAAAAACTCCACCTGTTTCCTGTTTCCAATCCCTCGGCCGAGAACTGGTCATGAATTCCAAACCCGAACAACACCGGCTCAGTTTTACTGGAGACCCACACGAGACAAGTGACCTGCCCCAACAGCCAGACTGTCTGACTCCACACACCGCAGCCTCCCTCCCTCCCTCCCCACACACACACCGTCTTCCTCCAATGAGCAATTCACGTTCCTCATTTCAATTGCACTTAAAATGAACTGATAAATCCCCAAATAACCAACCGAGACTCAGCTCACCACTGGCCTCGGTCCAGATATAGCACAGCTATAGCACAGTTAGTTTCTCACTCGCTGCTCAGTTTAAAACAAACACCACCTCAGCTGTTACTTTATATTTCAGGCCACGAGAGGCTATGATGGGTTGCCTGGTCTGACACTCACTCGCTGGTGCTAATTTTGGGAAATCTTTTTGGGGGGCTTTGAAGTGATCTTTGTACAAACAGAGATCAGGTCACTCTGTCACACTGGGCTGATGAGCAATGTTAGCAACCTCACAGTATAAAGCTACTACCCGTGACTCCCAAATCACTCCCAGAGTCCGACAGAGATAGAAAGGTAAAATGCAAAATACTGCAGATGCTGGAAATCTATAACAAAAGCAGAGATCACTGAGAACACTCAGCAGGTCAGGCAGCATTTATGGAGAAAGGAAAGTGGTTCAACGAAGAGTCATGGACCCAAACCATTGACCCACTTTCCTTTCTCCATAGATGCTGCCTGACCTGCTGAGTGTTCCCAGCGATCTCTGTTTTTGTTAGACAGAAAGGTCACAGTTTCAGCATTAAAGTGATGGGAATACTCATCATCCAATGTATTTGACATCTTCCCGAACTCAATGCTAAGAGTTAATTGCCAAATACCTTCCACTTGTAAAGCTTGGGGTTATAACAACGTAAATTTAACTACAAATACACAGTCACTACACTTGGTGAAGAGCTTTAAACCATTATTCCAACATTTCACCCACAAACACAGTCACTACATTTTTCAGTGTATCCTGTGAAGCGCTTTGAGGCATTTCAATGACGTGATAAGGCGCTGTATCAAATGCAAGGATTATTATTATTATTATAGATGTTGTATCAAATGTAAGCGAGTTATTGCCTCCTCCTCTGCTGCTGGGAGATGCTCTCAATATCTCACCCAAACAGTCAATAGCCTTGTCAACAATTAATCTGAACGAGAGGGGGATAGGGGTGGGTGTGGGGGTGGGGGGGTGTGTGACAGGTTGGGGGGAGTTTATAAGCAGCTTAATCCTCATGTCTGCTGCCATTGGGTTTTAAGTGAAACCAAGTGAACGGAACGTGACTGGTGTGAACCAAGGCCGTTACCTTCATTAAACACACGGTCGATGTTGAGTCCATACGTGGCACACGTCTCGTAGTACATGCAGCGTCGCATTTCACCGCACAGCTTACGGGCCTGGGTGTCCTCGATCACTCTGGGGTTGGAGGCGCTGATAGCATCTGTGAGTGGGAGAGGAGCCCTGGTTATTACCCCTGTATCTGGGACACAGGCCTGATAGTTACTCACTGTGGGTCTCGCTCCTTACCCTGAGATCCCACCAGCAGGACTACCATCTCTGCCACATTGCGGTAGTTGACCAGTCGTGTGTAGTAATTGTAAACAGCCTGAAAGCTCTGCTCGTTCTCCAGACTGAAGACAAATATAACAGCGTCGGCCCAGGCTGAGAACTGGGGGCAAAGAGAGACGATAACATCAACACAATCCACCAGCCGACACATACCAAGCACCTACCTCACACACTAACCAGGGCTCCCACTAACCAGGGCTCCCACTAACCAGGGCTCCCACTAACCAGGGCTCCCACTAACTGACTCTCTGTCTCTAACCTACCTCTCCCACTGGCCAGCAGCCATCTCCCCTGCCTGTCCTCTCTTGCTTGGTGCTCAGACTCCCCCCCCCCAGTGCAGTGCTCTGAGATGTTATCCGGGGGAAGGGGAGGGAGGGGGCACATGTTGTTGTCCATTGTTTCTCTTCTCTGTGTGACACTCACCTGGGCATCAGGTGGCCCACCTTCATCCCTGATGAGGAGCAGGTGGCTCTGACCATCCACGTTCACCTCCTTCTTGTAGCGCCCGCCTGGTGGGGAATCAGTCAGCAGTGAGTGGAGGGGACAGAGTAATAATAATAATAATCTTTGCATTTGATATAGCACTTTTCACATCTTCTCAACGTCTTAAAGCGCTTCACAGAATAAACTGTAAAGTGAATTGACTGTATATTTGTGGGCGAACGCGGCAGCCAATTGTGCACAGCAATGTCCCACAAACAGTCGTAGATTGAAAATGACCAATTTTTATTATTGTTTTGTTTTTTGGAGGGATTATTATTAGGCTCTGTGTGGAGAAGGAAACTTGCCCGAGGTTTGGCCCTCTGCCTGGAATTGAACCCAGGTATCTCGCTTGCAAAGCGAGTGCTCTAACCACTGAGCTACAGGACTCCGCCAGAGGTCAGACACTGGCCTGCAGTCTGAGCCCACTCTGTCCCACTCAGCTTACAATTGACACGTTTTAAGTGAAATGGTCAGTGAATGGGTTAACTGTTCAGCAGCGTTCCAAATAAGCCTTTACATTCCCGAGGCTGACCGCAAGAGCTTCTTTTTAATAGCGCCGCTAACGTCACTGTAATTACTATGAAGTGTAGTAACTGTTCCTGTTCTCACACAACCCACTGTTGACCGGCTGTTACACTTCCGTGCTGTGGTGACTTATGCAAGTGTGAAACTTGCTGATGTGACAGAAGGGGCTGTGCTTGGGCGGGGCTGTGCTGGGGCTGCGCTGGGGCTGCGCTGGGGCTGCGCTGGACTGCGCTGGGGCTGGGCTGGGGCGGGGCTGTGCTGGGGCGGGGCTGGCTCTGGGCTGGGGCTGCGCTGCGCTGGGCTGCGCTGGGGCTGCGCTGGGGCTGGGGCTGGGGCTGCGCTGGGGCTGGTGCTGCGCTGGGGCTGGGGCTGCGCTGGGGCTGGGGCTGCGCTGGGGCTGGGGCTGGGGTGGGGCTGGGGCTGCGCTGGGGCTGGGGCTGCGCTGGGGCTGGGGCTGGGCTGGGCTGGGGCTGCGCTGGGGCTGCGCTGGGGCTGGTGCTGCGCTGGGGCTGGGGCTGGGCTGCGCTGGGGCTGCGCTGGGGCTGGCGCTGCGCTGGGGCTGCGCTGGGGCTGGGGCTGCGCTGGGGCTGGGGCTGCGCTGGGGCTGGGGCTGCGCTGGGGCTGGGGTGGGGCTGTGCTGGGGCTGGGGCTGCGCTGGGGCTGGGGCTGCGCTGGGGCTGCCCTGGGGCTGGGGCTGCGCTGGGGCTGCCCTGGGGCTGGGGCTGCGCTGGGGCTGCTGTGCCGGCTTCAGTACCTTATTGAATGGTCTTTTTAAAGCTCTCAGAGCAGAAACCACATCCTGCCAGGGCTGAGCTCACACGAGACGTCTCAAAGCCGCAGCACAGGGAAAATGAGCAGCTTTCTGAACAACCAACGTCCTCTTTATACAAACAACAGTGTCTGTAACGGCTTAAACATCTCACAGCCTCTCAGCTCCCCAGCCCTGCCACCCAGTGTGCCAAACTGTGGTGGTTTAGCTGGAGGACGGGCGGTCACAACACTGCTCTCCTTTCCCATAGCATCAAGTGTCAGCAACTCCAACACACAGTGTCCTCCCCCTCCCCCCACACCCTCCCCTCATACCCCTTCCCCCAAACCACTCCCCCCAGGAACACACTTTGCTGCAGGCATATCATCGGCATGTTTGACTATGAATAAATAGTCACTACACCAGACATCACTGGCCTACGAATAGCTTTGAGGCAGCCACATGCTGGTTATCTCCTGTCAGGTGGAACGAGAGGCCACCCTCCCTCTTCCCCTCGCCCTCACCCATCCCCTCCCCCTCCCCTCCCCCTCCCCCTCCCTCCCCCTCCCTCGCCCTCCCCCTCCCCTCCCTCCCTCGCCCTCCCCCTCCTCACCCTCCTCACAGACGCAAAACCC